AAGTCAAAGACAATTTGGTAGAATTTTATTTTATTTTTTCACAATGAAACAATATATGTATTTTGAAAATGATTTTGCTTAATTTGTTGCTTGTTTGTTACTTGACACTGAATTTGGATACTCTATATTTTGAATGTTACAATATATATTTTTTGAATATTATGTTTGTTTAATTTGCTACTTGTTTGCTCGTTTCGCTATTGTGGGCATGATATTGAAATACAGAAGTGCAATAAGTGGGAAAAAAATAAAAACAAATAAACGTGCAATTGTAAACAAGAAATTTCAGCTCATTATGCCAGCATTTATAAACGCTGCCATATGGTGCGGTATATACCAACGCCTAGAAACGCCAGACTAGATCCCACCCCTTGTCATGTTGAGGGATATTCCCCAGCGTTTCTCGCCACCCTATACCAGCGTTTGGTAAAACACTTCCTTTTCATAAGCTATTCTAGCATTTCCAAAAATGCTGATGAGGACAAACGGCGACGCCTACTTAGACGGCGTCTTGTTGGCGTTTCTGGGAACGCTGGAACCTTTTTTAACGGCGTTTAAAAATGCTGCATTTTAGTTGAAAACTGCCTTTTTCAAGTTTTCTTGTAGTGATTGCTTGGTAACATTTTGGATGGACAGCCCCATTACTTGGAGTTAGGTGTTGCCAATGCCTTAATGTTGGGATAGCATAACCACAAAAATAGAAGGGAAAATATTGAAATTCGTTGGCATTCTAGTCTTTATTTCTTCATATTTTAATTACTGGTGGAAGACGGTACACATTTGACTATTGAGAGATAATGAACATCTGCAAAACAAATCAGCATTAGAGCTTAGTGAGAGATAAGAATTGTTCTCCGGCATTCAATGTAAGATATGAATTTTTAAAGAAATACTAGGGACATGTGGGTGAGAAGAAAGCTGGAGGAAGAAGATTAATTTGAGAGAGGCATGGAGAGTTTGATGGGAAACCATTTGTACTTTAACTTACAAACACCTTAACTTTTTAAATTCCATTTAATCTCAATCCCAAATTCCTCCAGACTTTAGTTTCCATTTTTTCATATTAAACAAATATTTTTTCATATCCATACAACACACTAGTCCGGTGTTGACAGATGGTCGTCACGGATGTTAGTTGACTTAAAAGTGTGAGTCTTTGCACAAAACTATTAAATAAAGGAAAGATTAAAAGAAAATGTCCCAAATAAACGACATCTTAATTTTTAAAAAATCACAATATATATTGTATTTAAAAAATAATTAAAAAACAATATTTTA